CATTCACCCATCCATTCATCTACCCACCCATCCACCCACCGTCCATCATCTGTCCTTGCATCATCCATTCATTCATTCAATCATCCATCCATTCAACTACACACCCATCCACCCACTGTCCATCATCTGTCCATCCATCCATTCATCCACCCATCCATCATCTGTCCATCCATCAACCATTCATCCATCCATTCATCTACCCACCCATCCACCCACTGTCCATCATCTGTCCTTCCATCATCCATTCATCCATCCAATCATCCATCCATTCATCCACACAACAATCCACCCACTGTCCATCATCTGTCCAGCCATCATCCATTCATCCATCCATCTACCCACCCCCCATCCACTCACTGTCCATCATCTGTCCATCCATCATCCATTCATCCATCTATCCACCCACCCATCCACCCACCATCCATCATCTGACCATCCGTCATCCATTCATCCATCTATCCACCCACCCATCCACCCACCATCCATCATCTGACCATCCGTCATCCATTCATCCATTCATTCATCCATCCACCTATCCAGCCACAATCCATCATCTGTCCACCCAACTCTGCTGCCTATGTTCTCTTAGGTAAACACTGTTGCCTGTTGGCAAACCCAGGTGAGGAAAATTGTCCTCAGAACACAGATCCTGTGTCTCCAAGTTCCCAGGGTGTCACCCCAGCCTAGAATGTCTGGTCGCAGTGACAGGATGCGTGAGTGGGTGATGGAATCCACAGCCCCAGCTGTCATTCCTCATATGATACACAGTGCACCACGATGCACACCAAGTCCAGGTCAGGCCCAAGGCCCGCACCATTTAGACGTGGCTCTTCCAGTGTTCTGGGAACACCGCAGAGGTTAACTATCTCTGAGTGCAAGGTGAGCACGTCGTGAGGACCATATCAGGGCTTTCTCAGAAAATGGCAAGTGCCAGAGGGAACAGGCCAAAGGCATCTGCGGCTGAGATCTGTTCCCCGTTAATGCAGGAAGGCAAGGGGCAGGGAGAGGAGGGAGGACGGTTAGTTTGGTTGGTTGAGTGGGTAGACAGAAGAAGGAGGGCTGGGTATATGGATGGATGGTCCACAGGGTTGATGGGTTGGATGAGTTGATGAATGGTTAGTTGCTCATGTAGATAGTCGGTTGGTTTGGATGGTTGGTTGTTGGTTGGAAAAATAGTTGATTGGGTAGATAGATGGTGGGGCAGATAGGTGCTTGGGTAGGTGATGTGAGCAGGAGGGGTGCTCAGCTGTGTGGGTGAAAGGAAGGTTGGCTGGCTGATTGGTGGATTCATTAGTTGATTGGATAGACAGGTGGCTGAACAGTTGCTTGGGTAGGTGCTGGGTGAGTGATGGATTGGTGATGGGTGGGTGGATGGGTGGATGGATGCCTGATGGGTGCATGATAGATTGGTGGATGGATGGATGATGGGTGAGGGGGTGGGTGGATGGGTGGGTGGATGGGTGATGGCTGGGTGGATGGCTGGGTGGAAGTCTGGGTGGATGGATGGGTGATGGACCAGTAG